TTGATCTGTGTGTTTATTTTTAATATATTTAGGAGCTAGGAAAGCTTCATTTCCAGTTCCAAAGTTTTCTGTTCAGCAAAGACATTGTCGAGTGCATGTTTGTTGGGGTTATAAATGTCAGTAGTAAACTCATCCTTATTTTCTGCCTTGCCGGAAATCTGACACTAGCTGATACTAAGTCCACATATGGCAGATACTCCGATACCTACCAGTGTAAGATTTTTTCAGCACCTATTGGAATATGAAGAATAAGGGTTTACTTATAATTTTTAACCATTTAGGAGAACAGATGGTGAAATGGAACTTTAGACTTAGGGATCCATTGATTAAGCTTGGTCTTTAAGTGAAATTTTGCCCTCAGCAGTGATTAGTGACAGAATTCCTCGAGTTTCTATTGAGAGCCTCTTGTGTTCTCTTGACTCTCTGGCACGTTCTACGGTATCATATGTCTGGAAATGTTAAGAACTTTTTTTAACCTACTGTGTTTGCCATAATTTTGGGGTGGGATTGGAGAGTTAAGGTAGTTTGTACTGTTATCAAAAATTTTGTATTTTATTAATTTTTTAAATAGCTGTTCAGTTAATCATATGTGTATAAAGTTAATTGAAAATAGATCTTAGTAGAAAATAATAATGGGACTAGGAGAGGGACGAGGGAGAGGCGGGGGAGTATGGGTGGGAGGGAGAGTATGGTGGGAAGAATCACCATGTTCCTAAAGTTGTAATTATGAAATATATGAAGTTTGTGGAACACAAAATAAAAGGTTTCTGGGGAAAAAAAACCAGAATTATGCTTTTGTTAGACTTCTGATTAGAGTTTAATGTATGTTCTTTAGAAGTGTATAGTGGTATCATGTAACATAGTAACTAGCATTTTGTAAAATAATTACAAAGTAATTATAGTTATTCACACCTTATTTCAGTATTTGCTTTATACTTTTCCTAAGTACTTGGCTTTTTTTTTTTTTTTTTTTTTTTTTAACTTAATGGGAAAGGCCAGCTCCGCGGCTCACTAGGCTAATCCTCCGCCTTGCGGCGCTGGCACACCGGGTTCTAGTCCCGGTCGGGGCACCGGATTCTGTCCCGGTTGCCCCTCTTCCAGGCCAGCTCTCTGCTGTGGCCAGGGAGTGCAGTGGAGGATGGCCAAAGTGCTTGGGCCCTGCACCCCATGGGAGACCAGGAGAAGCACCTGGCTCCTGCCATTGGATCAACGCGGTGCGTCGGCCGCAGCGCGGGCCCTTTGGAGGGTGACCAGTGCAAGGAGACCTTTCTCTCTGTCTCTCTCTCTCACTATCCACTCTGCCTGTCCAAAAAAAAAAAATAACTTAATGGGAATTATGATGAAGAATAATTGACAGTTTCTGGATAGCAAGAAATAAACTTTAGATTATTTAGGATAGAAGTTAAATAGCAGTTAATAAAATCCATATAAGTTACATGCCAAAATGGGATCTGAGTGCCATGAATCATATTTAGGCTTGTCATCTAATTGAAAAAATAAATTTTCATAAGCAGAAATTTTTAATTCTACATTTGCAGATTAAATACTTGATTTCTGCTGTTATAAGAAACTAGTAGAAGCATAATAACTAATGCTTATTGAATACTTACTGTTTATTATGTACTGGGTTGAGTGATGTACTTGCAATAATTGTAATAAAAGCTTTATAAGTGGTTGCCACATTAAGGCCCATTTTGCTTAATAACCTTGAACCCATGTCTCTGAGTCCATAGCCCTTGTTTCCCTTACTGTGCTATTTTGCTCTGAAATTAGAATGAATTATAGCTTCTTCATCTTCATTGTGGGAATATTTACCCTGGAAATTGTGAAATTAATTTTGAATAGATGATTGTGATGTATCAGTTCTCTCTTTAAGTTGGTGTTATATAAGGGAAACCTTTATTGATTACAGTATTTCTAAATAATGATTTTTTAAAAAAGATTTCTTTTATTTATTTGAAAGACAGAGAGAGGGGAGAAAGAGAGAAAGATCTTCCATCTGCTGGTTCACTTCCCAAATGGCTTCAACAGCCAGGGCTGGGCCAGGCCAAAGCCAGGAACCAGGAGCTTTATCCAAGTCTCCCATGTGGGTGCAGGGCCCCAAGGACTAGGGCTCTCTTCTGCTGCTTTCCCAAGTGGATTAGCAGGGAGCTGGGTGGGAAGTGGAGTAGCTGGGACTCGAACTGGTGCCCATATGGGATGCTGGTGTTGCAGGTGGTGGTTTACCTGCCATGCCACAATGCTGGCCCCTAAATAATGATTTTTTTTTAAAAAGATTTATTTATTTTTACTTATGAGGCAGAGTTACAGACCGAGGGAGAGAATGAGAGAGGTCTTCTATCCAGTGGTTCACTCCCCAAATGGCTGTAACAGCTGGAGCTGGGCCAATCTGAAGTCGGGACCCTCTTCTAGGTCTCCTACTTGGGTGCAAGGGTCCAAACACTTGGGCCATCTTACTCTGCTTTCCTTGGCCATTACTAGCAAGGAGGTGGATCAGAAGTGGTACAGCTAGGACTTGAACTGGCACTCATAAAGCTGCCTCACCACAGCATTGGCCCCAATAATGATTTAAAAAAAAATTGAGAGAATGAAAGTGTGCACATGGGAGATACAGAACTTCATCTGCTGCTTAACTCCCCAAATGACTGTAATAGTTAGGGCTGGGCCATGCTGAAGCCAGGAGCCAGTAGTTCCATCCTGGTCTCCAACATTCATGGTAAGGACCCTGGTAGTTGGGCCACCTTCCTCTGCCTTCTCAGGTGCATTGGCATGGAGCTGGATTGGAAGTGGAGCAGCCAGGACTGAGTCTGGTGTGCCTATATGGGATGCTGGTGTGATAAGTAGAGGCTTAACCTGCTGCATCCTGATGCTGGCTGCTCTTGAATGGTTTTTAAAATGACTCAAAAAATAAATTTTCCCAATTTTTCAATGTTTCTGAGTTAGGATGCTAGTTATCACCATTACTGATGGTTGCATAATTACACTTTTATCACAGAAATGATTCTCTTTTTTGTGGATGGGAAAGAAGAAATGGACCATTTAGGAAGCTAACTACCATTGTGTTTGATTTACTAAGACTTTGTGTAAATAATTGGTGCACTCTGTCCTTGTTTTTAGTTGTTGTATGGTAGAAACTGATCTAGAAATAGAAATTATTCTGTGTATTTTAGGGATAATTTTGAATACTAAGCTAAATTTACTTAATTTAAAAATAAGTGCTGATTTTTCAACCTGTTAATGTAATCAAAATTAGCTGTCAAGTACTGTGAATACAAGATAATTTTGTATTTTTCTAGAATTAATTTTCATTGGCTTTTAAAATAAATTCAACTATGGTTATATAATATGTAAGAGTTTTGAGTACATTTTTAAAATTATGCTGGATTCTTACACCATTTTATTATATGACAGAAATACTTTAAATTTGTTTTATATATTTAATTCATTTAGGATCTGAACCAATGATGCTGGGTTCACCTACATCTCCAAAGCCAGGAGTTAATGCCCAGTTCCTGCCTGGATTTTTAATGGGGGATTTGCCGGCTCCTGTGACTCCACAACCTCGATCAATTAGTGGTCCTTCAGTAGGAATAATGGAAATGAGATCACCTTTACTTGCAGGTATTTGGATTGCTCTGAATACGTTTTGTAGTATGTTAATATGCATAGTAGACTTTTGCAGAGTGTTGGTACAATATTCATCCTCATCTATACAATTAATAATTAAAAAATTAAACAGTGTCAGTATAAAAGCAGAGCCATGATTTTTTTTTTTTAAACATTTATTTATTTATTTGAAGGAGTTATAGAGAGGCAGAGGCAGAGAGGGAGAGAGGTCTTGCATCTGTTGGTTCACTCCCTAAATGGCCACAGTGGCTAGAGCTGGGCCAATCTAAGCCAGGAGCCAGGAGGTTCTTCTGGGTCTTTTACGTGGGTGCAGGTACCTGAGGACTAGGGCCATCTTCTGCTGCTTTCCCAGGCCATAGCAGAGAGCTGGATTGGAAGTGGAGCAGCCGGAACTTGAACTGGTGCCCATATGGGATGCTGGCAGGCACTTCAGGTGGTGGCTTTACCTGCTACGCCACAGTGCCGGCCCCAGAGCCATGATTTTAATGTTCTTGAATACAGGTGTAAGCAGTATAAGTTATAATTGCATTAACCACTCATTATAAATATGCATACTATATTTAATTGAATTTTCTAAGATGCCATTGATTGTAAACATTACCATTATGTTAAGTTCCAGAAGGAAGGAAGAACACTAAATATGATACAATGCCAAAATGCCACTCTTTGTAAAATATTTCCTTATTTTGGAGATATTTAAAAAAATTATTTATCTGAAAGGCAAGGTTAGAGAGGGAGAGACAAAAATAGAGCGATATCGAGATCTTCCATCTGTTGGTTCACTCACCAAATGCTGTACTGGCTGGGTTGGTGGCTGGGCCGGGGCTGAAACCAGAAGCCCAGAACTCCATCCAAGTCTCTCTCATGGGTGGCAGGGCCATCATCTGCTGCTTTCCTGTGTGTGTTAGTGGAGCAGCTGGAACTGACACTTGTTTTGTATGCTAGTGTTGCAAGCAGTGGCTTAACCCCTTATTTTAGAGATATTAAAGTGAGATGCAGTGTTAAAATTCTTAGAATGAAATATGGTCCTTTAACTTCAACTGATTTCAATTTAAATAATTCATCTTAACATATAAGAAAAACAGTCAAAAGGAGTTTGATTTGAAGTTTTATAGATATGAATTCTACTTCCAGTCACAGTAAGATCTTACGTATAGTGTATTTCACTAAAAAGTACATACTTTGAAAACTAGCGGGAAACTTTTTTTTACATAGAATTTACAGTTGTCATTACAAAGTGTTGTAACCTAAATGCAACCTGCAGTTCTTATGGGTCTTCTTTAGGAAAGAACTATTTTAAAAGATAACTTTGTGAGGTTTTGACTGAATAGTGAGGATTAGCTACAGAGTGTTGGAATTCCAGTTGTGAGCTAATATCCTTTTAACAGATGTTTAAATGGAGACCCTTGTTACCCTAATTGCCCTGTAAAGTATGATTTGTTTTAAAGTGTTTTTTTTTTTTATTATTTTTCAAGATTTATTATTTGAAAGGCAGAGCAACAGAGAGAGAGAGAGAGAGAGAGGGAGGGAGAGAGAGACAGACAGATCTGTCTGCTGGTTCCCTTCAGATGGCTGTAATGGCTGGTTCTTGTCCAGGCTGAAGCCAGGAGTCCTGGACTCCATCTTGGTCTCCCATGTGGATGGCAGGGGCCATCATCCACTGCTTTCCCAGGTGCACTAGCAGGGAGTTGGATCGGAAGTGGTGCAGCTGGGCCGTGAACTGGCACTGTGTGTCAGCATTGGGAGTGGCAGCTTTATCCACTAAGGCACAACATTGGACTTGGCTTATTATCTTTTTGAATTGATCAAAGAGAATTACTGTAAATTATATTTGTAGTTATTCATTTAAGAACACCATTTTTGGACAGATTTTTAAAATTTCAGGGGCCAGTGCTGTGGCGTAGTGGGTAAAGCCGCTGCCTGCAGTGCCGGCATCCTGTATGGGTGCTGGTTTGAGTCCTGGCTGCCCCACTTCTGATCTAGCTCTCCTATGGCCTGGGAAAGTCGTAGAGGATGGCCCCTGCACCCGTGTGGGAGACCCGGAAGAAGCTCTTTCCTGGCTCCTGGCTTTGGATGGACCTGCTCTGGCCTTTGAGGCCATTTGGGGAGCGAGCCAGCAGTGGGAAGACTTCTCTCTGCCTCTGCCTCTCTGTAACTCTGTCTTTCAAATACATAAATAAATCTTAAAAAAAAATTTCAAATGTATTATTGTAGCCACCATATATTAAATGCCTTTGAGTCATGTAGTGTGCTAATAATTTTATTTATGTCTTTTTTTTTTTAAATCAACTTTAGTAGTTGGGATTTCCATTTTTCAAAAGAGGATACTGAGGTTAAATAATTAGCTAGAACTCATTTGTTAGTGTCAGAGTAGGACTTTAAGGTCCAGGTGGTCTTGTTCCATAGTGTGTATTCTACATAACTTAGGATTTACTCTCCAGGCTTAGACACTATTCTTACTGAGGCCCTGGGCTGCATCACTGTTTGCATTGCAGGTTCTCTGACTTAAAAAATATCTTTATGTGATGAAAGTCCATTTTCTTTTTTATTTTTTTTGACAGGCAGAGTGGACAGTGAGAGAGACAGAGAGAAAGGTCTTCCTTTGCCATTGGTTCACTCTCCAATGGCCGCTGTGGCTGGCGCATTGCGGCCGGCGCACCGCGCTGATCCAAAGGCAGGAGCCAGGTGCTTCTCCTGGTCTCCCATGGGGTGCAGGGCCCAAGCACTTGGGCCATCCTCCACTGTCTTCCCGGGCCACAGCAGAGAGCTGTCCTGGAAGAGGGGCAACTGGGATAGAATCTGGCACCCCGACCGGGACTAGAACCCTGTGTGCCGGTGCCACAGGTGGAGGATTAGCCTTTTGAGCCGCGGCTCTGGCCAAAAGTCCATTTTCTGTATCTTTATTATGTACTTAAATATATTTCTCCTGTGAGAAACATGAATGGGGTCTATTGACAGTTTTTACATTAGGGGATTATATGCTTAGGTATAGATAGATTAGAACTATATATCTATATGGTAGATAGTTACTCTGAGAAATGGGGTCAAATTTTGTATTGAAATGTTAAGTAGAAAAGGTAAGAATTGCATGTGTTTTCTAAAAGCTACAATTTATATTAAGTACTTGTTCTGAAGCCTTTTATACGAAGTATGGTAAATACATCAGCTGTATTGGCATCATTTGGGGACTAGTTAGACCTGTATAATCTTGGGCTCCACCTCATACCTTGTGAATTAGTACAAATTTTAAAAAGATCCCCAGGTGACTCTTATGTTTATTCAAGTTTGAAAAGCACTAGGAGACAGTTTAAGTTAGTATTCCAGAACTATATAATTAAGAATCTTAGCAGGAGATGGAAGATTCCTTTACTTTATTACCTGACTGTATTTTTGTACATTGTAGGTGGGTCACCACCACAACCAGTTGTGCCTGCTCATAAAGATAAAAGTGGAGCTCCACCAGTTAGAAGTATATATGATGACATTTCCAGCCCAGGACTTGGATCAACACCTTTAACTTCAAGAAGACAGGTGATAGACATGTCCTTATAGTTCACTTTAATTTTAAGTTTCTTTGTGGCTTAAACAGTTAGGATTAGTAATTTAAAAATTTCTTGAGATTTATTTTAGTGTAATAGTGTTACACAGAATAAGCATTAAGTGCATTTATCATAGAATCTGCTTACATTGCGTTTGTTATGAAATGTGCTTAGAAATATAATAGGACTCTACGTTGTATTCCATATAGGTAATTCTGTGATTTCTTTTATAGGTATGCTTTATCTTTTTACCTGTATGTCTCTTTAAAAATATTTCTTTATATATTTGAAAGAGTTACACAGAGAAGAGAGAGGAGAGGCAGAGAGAGGGGAAGAGGTTTTCCATCCGCTGGTTCGTTCCCCAATTGGCCACAACGGCTGGAGCTGCGCTGATCCGAAGCCAGGGGCTTCCTCTGGGTCTCCCATGCGGGTGCAGGGGCCCAAGGAGTTGGGTCATCTACTGCTTGCCCAGGCCATAGCAGAGAGCTGGATGGGAAGTGGAGCAGCCAGGACTCAAACTGGTGCCCATATGGGATGCCAGTGCTTCAGGCCAGGGCGTTAACCTGCTAAGCCACAGCGCCGGCCCCACCTGTATGTCTTTATACCTGCCTGTGCTCAACCTGCTTAATATACATGTGGAATATGATTATGTTTATTATTCTAATTGTTTAAGTCACCAAATATTTTATACATAGTTTTGTGAAAGAACAAATGAAGATTCTAGATTTTATCTTGATATAGAACACTTGGTAATGATTGAAAACTGTTTTACTAGTGGTTTTGTTAAGATCAGTATCCTTTTAGAGCTGTATTCACTGTTTACATTTTATCTTTTAACCGAAAAGAGCTGCCTCCTACATTTTTATGAGCTGAGTGTGTTAACTGGTGTAGGTGTTCTGATGATGGTATTAAGTTTTATTTTGTGTAGGTGGTCTGATAGTGTTTTTTTCCATTATGGATTATATTCCAGGTAGAGAGTATCTGTTTTGATGACGCTGACAGCAATAAGAACATATCTAATACTCAGGAAATACTTGCTATGTGCAGGCCCTGAGCTTATAACTTCTAATGTATTATTTCATTTAGTCCTCAGAATGAATCTTGTGAGTTAACTTACACGACCTTCATTTTATCACTGATGAAACTAGAGCAAGGGGAAGTTTAATTTGTCAAGGGTGGGGTAGTCAGTTTATAGCAGAGCCAGGCTTCAGACATAGACACTTTTTATTTGAGAGGCAGTGAAAGAGAGTGAGTGCACATGTGCTGGTTCTCCTCTACTGGATCAGTGTCCGGATGCCCACGACTTCTGAAGTCACGAGCGGAGAATTCAGTCCAGGTCTCCCATGTGGTTGCAGGGACTCAGTTAATTGAGCCATCGCCTGCTGCTTCCCAGGGTTTGCATTAGAAGGAAATTGGATTCAGGATCCAGAGGTGTGTTTGGAACCCAGGCACTGCCATATGGGGGCATCTCAGCTTGTCACCCTAACTGCTTAGTCTAGGCCACCTTTGTGGCAGAGTGGGTTAGGATGCCGCCTGCAGTGCTGATGTCCCGTTTAGACACCAGTTCAAGTCCTGTCTGTTCCACTTCTGATCCAACTCCCTGCTGATATTCCTGGGAAAGCAGTGGAAGATGACCTAAGGATTTGGGCTCCTGTGACCCACATGGGAGACACAGATGGAGTTCCAGGCTCCTGGCTTTGGCCTGGCCCAGTCTTGGCCAGCTGTTGTGGCCATTTGGGGAGTGAACCAGCAGATGGAAGATCGATTCTCTGTCTCTGTCTCTGTCTTTCAAATAAATAAATAAACTCTTTTAAATAAATAAATAAATCTTTAAGAAAAAAACAGAAACCTGCTTGGTCAAACTCCTGCCCCATCCCAGGCAGTCTTGAATTTAGTGCTAGTGATTTTAAGGGCCATGCTGGGTTAATACTGTGATAATTCTTGATTGTCAGTTGAAAGGTAGAATGGATTTTTTAAGTAGGAAGTTTAATAGCTTTTTAAAAAAATTTATTTTATTTATTTGAAATGCAGAGTTACAGAGAGAAAGGAAGAGACAGAGAGAGGTTGGTTGGTTGGTCTTCCATCTGCTGGTTCACTCTCCAAAGGGCTGCAGTGGCTGGAGCTGGGTGGATCTGAAGCCAGGAGCCAGGAGTTTCTTCCTGGTCTCCCTTGCCAGTGCAGAGACCCAAGGACTGGGCCATCTTCTACTGCTTTCCCTGGCCATAGCAGGGAGCTGCATTGGAAGTGGAGCAGCTAGGACCCAAACCAGCACCCGTATGCTGGCATTGCAGGCAGCAGCTTTATCTGCTACGCCACAGCGCTTGCCCCTAGTGTTTATTTAAAAATAAAATTGTTACTTTTCTGTTTTTCTGTGTGAACTTGGTGATTTGAAGAATTACCATTAGCTTTCTTACTTCAAATATTGTATATTAGGAACTGAAAACAAATAGCCACTATATTACCGTATATAAAAGAATCTTTTTTTTTAACCTGGTGTGACAAGTATAATATGCTAAAGAATCTAACTTATGTTGGGTTAATACTGCTCAACCAGAAAAACGTTAGAGAATACCTTTGGATGTTAATTAGAGACATCTTTAGCACCTGCCAGAAATTCAGTTAACTATTGAACAAAGCCTTTCAGCACCCACTATATGTGTTTGTTAGGATTAGAACTTTTTGTTTTTACTTAACATTGTCTTCTGTTTTCCTGTAGCTGAACATTTCGGTAATGCAGAGTCCTGTTGGAGTTACCACAGCTACTCCAGGAACAGGTAACTTTTAACTTCAAAGACTATTCTCTGCTGTGAGTGAAAAATAATATAATTAAAAAAATTTTTTCTTTATTTCAGACTTGGAGATTTTCTCAGACTTCATTCAGGAAGGAAATACTTAGTGTTTTGATTCTTTCTGAATTCATGGGAAATTTTTTAAAAGATTATATTTATTTTTTTAGAAGAGTATATATAGTTGAGAAGCAAATGTTTGAGTACCCAGCCATGTACCAGAGTCTGGGAAACAGCACAGCAGCTGATCCCTGCCTTCATGATGCTTGTATTTATTCACAGGGTTTACATTTATAACACAATAAGTACGTTATAAAGTTCGTTAGAAGGTAACGATTTTATGGAGGAAAAAATTAGGCAGGAATGGGGAGTAGTAGGGCATAGAGACTTATGATTTGAATTAGGGCGATATACAGGTGTATTTTGTAGATGTGAGTTTGGTTCCAGAGCACCACAGTAAAGCAAATATCACAATAAAGTGAGCCACACAAATGTTTTGGTTTCCTAGCACATAAAAATTTTATATTATACTATACTGTAGGCTATTTAAGTGCAGAATAGAATTGTATCCAAAAAAAAAGTTAATACCTCTTATTTAGAAAATACTCTAAAAAGTGCTAAGTCAGTCTGGTATTTGTTTTCTCTTGCTGCTATAACAGATTGCTACAAACTTAAACATGCTTTAAATGACTCAAGTGTACTACCTTAAAGTTCTGGATGTCAAAAGTTTGAAGTGAGCTTCAGTGGGCTAAAATCAAGTGTTTGGTCAGGTTGTGTTCTTTTATGGAGGTTCTAGGGGATGATCATCTCTCTCCCTGTTTTGTTTTGTTTTGGTTATTGCTTTTCCTTTTATCTCTAGAAGTTGCTCACATTTCTTGGTTTGTGGCACCCTACTTCCATTTTGAAAGCCAGCAATTTTGTACCTCTTCAACCATTCTTTTGTAGTCACATCTCTCTGTCTTTTAAAGGCTCTTGTTAATACATTGTGCCCTTCTGGATCATTCAGGGTAATCTCAATCTTAAGATCACCAATATAGACTGTAGAGGTGGGGAATGCTTTTTGTGCCAAGGGCCAATAAACATTTATAACATCATTTGTGGGCCATACAAAATTATCAATTTAAAAATTAGCCTGCTTTATTTATTGAATTTTTTTTTCCTGTGGTTGCCTTGGCAGGGCCAGACCAAATGATTTCACAAGCCTTATATTGCCTACTGGCTGTATGTTCCCCATCCCTGGACAGAGCCTTAATTTCATCTTCACTCAATTTCCCTTTGCCATGTAATGCATCAAATTTACAAGTTCTGGAATTAATTTAGGAATATATTCTGTGAGCCAGTATTCTGTCTGCCATGGGTTGTTAGGGAAAAAGTAATATTTTGTTGAAAAACTAAGAGAAGTAGGAAAAAGTGTTTGAGCAGGGTAGGCATTATGGTGCACTGGATTAAGTCATCCCTTGGGACTTCTACATTCATATCAGAGTGCCTGGGATTCAGGCCTGCCTTTGCTTCTTTGTTTTTTTAAAAGATTTATTTTTTTATTTATTTGAAAGACAGAGTTACAAAGCGAGGTAGAGCCAGAGAGAGAGAGAGAGCGCGCGCGGGTGCGCGGGAGCACATACGCGTGCGTGCGCGTTAGCGAGCTTCCATATGCTGGTTCATTCTGAGAGAGAGGGAGAAGGGTGGGGGGTCTTCCATCTGCTGGTTCACTCCCCTAATGATAACAATGGCCAGAGCTGAGCTGATCCGAAGCCAGGAGCTTCTTCCAGGTCTCCCATGCTGGTGCAAGCGCCCAAGGACTTGGGCCGTCTTCTACTGCTTTCTCAGGCCACAGCAGAGAGCTGGATCGGAAGTGGAGCAGCCAAGAAGCAAACCAGCACCCACATGGGATGCCGGCGCTGCAGGCTGCTGCTTTAATCTGCTGCTCCACAGCGCCGGCCCCTGCCTTTGCTTCTAATCTGACTTCCTGCAATACTTAGCCTAGGAGACAACAGATCATGTCTCAAGTACTTTTGTCAAGTACCTTTTGTCTCATGTGGGAGACAGGATAGAGTTCCTGGCTTCTGGCTTTAGCAGTAGCTATTGCAGTCATTTAGGGAATGAATCAGCAGATAGAAGATCTTTCCCTTGCTTGCTCTCTGTTGCCCTGCCTTTCAAATCACAATAAACAAATTAAAAAAAAAAAAGTGTTATGAAGAGAGGGAACAGAAGGTTAAAGACCTATTGGTTGGTAAGAGGATATCTGGAATTTTAAAGAAGAATAAGAGGTCTGTATGACTAGGGGTCCGTGTTGTGGTGCAGTGGATTAAGCCACTATTTGCAACACTACTACCCCATATTGGAGCACCAGTTTGAGACCTAGCTGCTCTGCTTCTGCCAGTCCTCGCTAATGTTCTTTGAAAAGTGGTGGAAGATGGCCCAAGAACTTAGCCCCTTTGCCACTTGTGTGGGAGACCCAGATGGAGTTCCTGATTCCTCTCTTTGGGCTGGCTGATTTGGGGAGTGAGTCAGTGGATAGATTTCTCTACGTGTTTCCCTGTCTTTCTCTGTCACACTGCCTTTCAAATTAATCTTTTTTAGAATGGAAGGAGTGAACAGAGAGTAGTAGAAAAATGATTTCTGAGAGGTAACGGGGGCAGATGTCGATGGAGCATTGTAAGTCATTGTAACAACTTGTCTTTACCCTGAAAAAGTAGGAAAAAAATAGGATGAGACTGATGCTAAAGTGAGAATAGTTTGAATGTCAGGGGCTAAGGTTAGTAAAAGCCAAATTATGAGGCTACTGTAGGGCCGGTGCCGTGGCTCACTTGGTTAATTCTCCGTCTGCGGCACTGGCACTCCGGATTCTAGTCCTGGTCGGGGCGCTGGATTCTGTGCTGGTTGCTCCTCTTCCAGTCTAGCTCTCTGCTATGGCCCGGGAGTGCAGTGGAGGATGGCCCAAGTGCTTGGGCCCTGCACCCGCATGGGAGACCAGGGGGAGGTGCCTGGCTCCTGGCTTCAGATCGGCACAGCACGCCGGCCGTAGAGACCATTGAGGGGGTGAACCAACGGAAAGAAGACCTTTCTCTGTCTCTCTCTCTCTCACTGTCTAAATCTGCCTGTCAAAACAAAACAAAACAAAACAAAATGAGGCTACTATAGTAAGTAATCCAGTTAAGAGTGGTAGTGACATGAAAAGAAGGCAGGAAGGGAGCAAAAAGGAGATGGAATGTAAGAAACAATTTAAGACTTTACATTTAAAGCTACCCAAATCAACAATTTCATGACATGAAATATGCCAAACACTCCAGGTAAAGCAAAGATTGTTGGAAGTGGTAACAGAAGCAGCATACAACTGTGAGTTAGATCCTCTGATCTTGCAATCTCTGATCTTAGAGTGAACTGATTGACATGTATTTGAAGTCTAGATTTCTGCTAATAGTTTGTTCAAGGCATTTTAGACTTTTTCTGTCAATGCTTTTCAAAATTTCTTTTAGCCTCCATTTACTACCTAATTCCAAACTACTTTCATATTTTTAGGTGTTTGTTCATAGCATCACCTGACTCATACTAAAATCTGTGTTGTAGTTTCCTATTACTGTTGTAATAAATTATCACAAGCATAGGGATTTAAAGTAACACAGATTTATTATCTCACAGGGCTGTGTTCTTTTCTATAGGTTTGGGGATAAATCTACCCATACTAATTCAGGATGATGGCAGAATTTGGTTCTGTGTGGTTGCAGGAATGAGGTCCCTGTTTCTTTGTTGGCTATCACCTCAGGGTTGTTCTTAACTTCTAGAGGTTGCCTTTCTGGTTCCCCTTCCTTCACCTTCAACGTCAGCAGGGGCCATTCACATCCTCTTGTACTTCATAACTGTCTGACTTGTCTTTTCTACTTTCTGATGCTTTTTTTTTTTTTTAAGATTTATTTATTTATTTGAAAGTAAGAGTTACACACAGAGAAGGAGAAGCAGAGAGAGAGGAAGAGGTCTTTCATCCACTGGTTCACTTCTCAATTTGCCGCAATGGCCAGAGCTGTGTTGATCGGAAGCCGGGAGCCAGGAGCCTCTTCCAGGTCTCCCACATGGGTTCAGGGGCCCAAGGACTTGGACCATCCTCTTCTGCTTCCCCAGGCCTCAAGCAGAGAGCTGGATTGGAAGTGGAGCAGCTGGGACTCGAACCGGTGCCTGTATGGGATGCTGGTACTGCAGGTGACTGCTTTACCTGCTATGCCACAGCGCTGGTCCCTTCTGCTGCTATTAACAGGGCTCATTTGATTACACTGGGCTCATGGGATAATCTAGGATAATTCTTTAAGGTCAGCTGATTAGTAGCCTTAATTCTGTTTGCTAAGTCCCTTCACAGAAATACCTAGATCAGTATTTGAATTATCAAACGAAGGTATAGAAATCTTAGTGATATCTTTTTTATTAATACTATAATAGTGTATAATTACTGTTAGTTTGTTTGACAAACATTTAAAACAAAATTTGACAAAGCACTGTTTTTGCAACAAAACTAACACACAGCTATTTCTCTCTTTTATAGCTTTAGCTCTCACCTGTATTTTAATTTTAGCTCCCACATATATTTGTCTTTCTGTGTTGGAGACATCTTTAAAAGTATGTCTACCACATATAGTTGGCCCTCCTTAACCACTGGTTCTGCATCTGGTGAGTCAGCAAACTGTAGATCAAAAAAGAATTGTGCTTATATTGAACCTGTACAGACTTTTTCCTTTTCTTAATCCCTAAATGATACAGTTTAATAAATATTTAAGCCGGCGCCATGGCTCAATAGGCTAATCCTCTGCCTGCGGCACCGGCACCCCGGGTTCTAGTCTTGGTCGGGGCACCGTATTCTGTCCTGGTTGCTCCTCTTCCAGTCCAGCTCTCTGCTGTGGCCCGGGAGTGCAGTGGAGGATGGCCCAAGTGCTCGGGCCCTGCACCCGCATGGGAGACCAGGAGAAGCACCAAATGGCTGTAGCGGCCATTTGGGGGATGAA